TTCACTGGCTTATGAATCTGATTTTTTTAAAGCAGAAAAGCTACTGTGTGTGTGGCAGCAGCAGCACACTTTTACTTCAATGCCTCGTCATTTAAAGGTCACCCTAGCCACTTGGGCTACTGCGCCCTTGCTCCAGGGACATATCTGAAAGCACCTACTTAAAATGCTCTGGATTTTCTCCCTCCCAATGACAGCTTGCCTTGTAATTGCCAACATTCAGAGGCTTAAATCCTTCATTTTATAAGGCTAGTCATTAAAAGGGAAGATGGCAGCCAAGTCACTCATTTTTCTTCCCATTGACAATTGGTGACATTTCTCCAGCAGTGCACAAGGTGTTGAAAACCTGGCAGCTGTTACCTCCTGGGATGGAGCTCCTTTTTTATCCTCCCCTTGACAGTTTAACTCAATGGGTCAGCACCTTTAAAGACTGCAAAGTATCACTGAAGTGGATGGCCGGACTTGAATTACTGCACCCTCCCCAATCAATGTAAACCCTCACCGCAGGTGAAATGCTCCATCTATAGAGGTGCATGGGGGAGGAAAATGTAATGCCCTAAGCCAGATGGGTTTCATCTTGTGCTTAAAAAAAAGAAAGAAAGAAAGAAAGGAACAAGCTAACAAGGGGACAGCTACTTTGTTAGCTTCTTGGCCTCTCTCATGGCTCTGAAGCCCCAGGGTTCCAGCCACACACAAGAGAAAAGAATTCAGCATACACATAAACACTTAAAGAAATATAACTAGGGAGAAGGCAACATGCTGTTTTCAAAGAGTTGAGAGTCCTGTTCAGAGCTTTATTTATCACTACCCACGTTCACTGGGCTGTAAGTGGACATGGAAACAAAAGGTCAGGAAAACAGACAATGCTTGCAATTTACTCCATTACAGAGGGACGTAGAAATGCAGCGCATCTGACAGACCCGATTAGCATTAAAGCAGAAAAAAAAGTAGTGGGTTTTTATGCTGTGTGACATCTCTGCTGAGCAGTCATATTCTACACATTCAGTATTCAGGGTATCACAAGATCTTCAGTGTAAACGAAATAAGTTTCAAAGAATTATAATTGTTAACAGGAAAGCCCCCCCCCAATTATATTTGAGATACTTACTTTAATTCATACTGAGTCTGTTTTTCCTAATATTAAATACTGATACAAAATTACAATTTTAGCTCTGATTCTTCTTCCGCCCTCTAACAGATACTCTTCACTCTACAGTACAGTATCAGTTGATGGAGAGAGGAAGTGGCATTTCTTTGTACCTTATAGTAGTATTTTCTTTTTTTGCCATAGTTGCTGAAGAAATTTAATTAATACAATTGAATTAATTAATACATATATGACCATAGGCATTAACAAACAGAAGCATCTCTAATTCTGCCTCTTCCTCATTATAGCCTGCTTAAACTTACATAAGCATCATATGGTTGAGACCCTGTAACCCCCCCCCCTTGTAAGACCTCTAAAATCTCTACACATTACAGCAACAGAATTCCATGAGGAACTGCTGAAGGAGAGGAAAGAGAAGAAAGAAACAGTTCTATGGTGGTGGTGGTGGTGGGGAATGGCGATGGCTGCCTCTGTTTAATTCCATGTGAAGGCATTAGAGAGAGGCATGATCAACAACACACATCACTGAAATCCTGCTGTCATCAGCACTTCCCCACATGGCATCTTTTGACAGGATTTCCTCTCCACAGAGCCTCCTCCCTACCCCATAGAACAAGCCTAGACAGCAAAAAGGCACATCATTATTACTCCATTTAAGCAAATGAAGAAGCTTTCTTTAAACAACCTGCATTGTGCCAATCTTTGTAAAAGGACAGTAGGGTAATCAAGTTCAGGGCAGCCCTCGACAGCTGCCCTGTGACCTATGCCTGCTGACCCTTGCTATTCATCACTTTCCTCTGGAGTATCAGGGCAAGCTCCTGGTGAGTGACCACCACAATAGACAGCTACAAGCCAACAATAATATGGCTCCTGCAGAAACTTGGGCGGCGGCAGGGGGGGGGAGCCCAGATGGCACTGCAATAAATTTACAAATCTTCATTCATGGCTCTGTATAACACACCAAAAAGCCAAAAGGCTCAAAGGTCCCTGGGGAGCTTCCCCCTCATTGCTTTCTAAAGGCCAACTCTCTCTCAAGGCTACTAAGCCCCAGTTCTTCAGAAATGGAGACCGAAGCCCTTAAAATTACAAATGCCTGACCTAATCAACCTACCATTCGGGTTCAATGCTAAATGATGGGTACTGAAAACTAATTATTGTCTTTTGGCAAGGTTTTTGAATTTAAAATGGAAACACACAGGTTAAAAAGGCACTGAAGCATTTCAAAGTCTCTTTGAAAAAGGCTGCACACATGCATAGAACAGGTCTCAAACCAGGAGCCAGATTCAATAATTCACACATTTATTTTTAAAATGAATCAGATTAGTCCCATGTGTGACCTGCTGGTCCATCTGTATTCGCTGGACTTAATGGGCACTCTTCTCACACTATCTTCAGCTTGAAGTATGAGAGAGATAAATTTAGTTTAATTTTCAACAGATCAAGCTATCCATTTTCCAAATGGACCATCTGGATCAGCCTATTAAAATTAATTTATAACTTAGCACTGAGAAAATTCGTTTGTTAGCTTAAACATAGTTGCCAAAAACTTTGTCCCTTTATCATGGTTTTCTCAGACTTTGCTCAAACCCACAAGCCCCCCCTTTTTTATCCCAAACCTTTCCTCATAAAATACCCTGCTTATAGAATAATATTTGCTCCTCTAAGCTATACACAGATTTAAATCAGTTTGTCTACTAATGTCTTCAATGCAAGAGCAATGGAAAGTGGTCAAAAATAAAGGCCACCATATGGTACATCCACAATGGAAAATGTGTCTCTATTAGAAAAAGGTGTTTACTTTGTAATGCATAACAAGTAGGGCTGTGCTCAGTGTTCCCTCTAAGCTGAGTTAGTGTGAGCTAACTCACAGTTTTTTAGCCTCTGGCTCACACATTTTTGTCTTAGCTCAGGAAGGGATGGCTCCAGAGCAAACTAATTTATGCAGCAGCCAAAGCTCCTGCTCACAACTTTAATGCCAGTAGCTCACAAAGTAGAATTTTTGCTCACAGGGTTCCATAGCTTAGAGGGAACGTGTGCATCTGCCACGTGTACACAGATCAGGCAGATGATACTTACTGTAGTTCCTTAGCCTATGCTCCTATACCTTGAATATACAATGGTGCTGCTCTTCACAAGTTACATTTTCCCCCCTGACATGGCAACTATGTGTAATAAAAAGCAATGCTGAACTGGCCCCTGGTCCACCTTTAATAAAATGCTGACCATCAGTTACACAGTATTTTTAAGTACTGGTGGGTCATCATGAGAGCTGATCTGTCATATATGGGTTGCTAGGAAAAGACAGCAAAATAGTTTCTTAATGTTTAGCAAGGAAGAACAAACTTGGTATTCTCACAAAAGCTGAAGAAGTCACGAGACAAAAATAAAGTAGCTGAATGCAAAAGAATGGCTTTTATTTAACTTTTTAGTTTTTCATTTTTTTTACTTACCAATATAAACAATAACAAAGAAACCTATAATTAGTATGTCTGTTCCCCTCCCTCTCCCTCCCACCCCATTTTGTTCCTTCTTCACATAACCAGTAAACTAATAAAACTGTTATAACAGCAATGTAAACTTACTGTCTTACTTTTGTTCTTTTCCCAATTCAGAGGTTTTTCTTCCCCAAAAGTATTTACAAGCCATCAGTGCTACATAATTGATGTGTCCTGACTTGCTGTGACAGTTTGTTAACAATTATAAGATCCCAAACTTTAACATGATGGAATGATGTGAGTTCTAGAAACAACACAGACTAAGCAATACAGGCTTGCAAAAGCCTTCAAGGTAAACTTTGATTTTTTTTAAAAAAAGTAAAATTCTGATAAAGGGGTCAATCCCCTTTTTTGTCCATAATGATTTTTGGTTTACAACAAATTTGCTCTCTTGAGAATGAAGCAGAATATACATTCAACCTATTTTTTTGCAAGAAAGAGTTACTACTTTCCTCAGAAGAGTAGCACACTGGCTTCTCTGTGGTAATGCCTCCTAAGCTAATACCTTATGGAATAACCTGCAATATTTGCCTTTGTGAAGAGCCAGCAAAACTTTACCTTTACTTTTGCCAGACTGTCCCTGAAACTGTCTGAAACCTTGCTTGGTTTCAAGCTTGCTATTCCTCAAAGATAAAATATGTTCAGCATAAGAAAAGAAGTACTTTTCTCCCTTTCTCACAATACAAGAACTCCTGGGCACTCAATGAAATTGCTGAGCAATTGAGTTAGAACAGATAAAAGGAAGTAGTTCTTCACCCAAAGAGTGATTGACACATAGAATTCACTGCCACAGGAGGTGGTGGCAGCTACAAGCATGGATGGCTTCAAGAGTTAATTAGATAATCATATGGAGCAGAAGTCCATCAGTGACTATTAGCCACAATATAGATAGAAACTCTCAGTCTGGGGCAAGTGATGCACTGTATTCTTGCTGCTTGGGGAGGGGGGCAACAGTGGGAGGGCTTCTAGTGTCCTGGCCCCACTGCTGGACCTCCTGATGGCACCTGGTATTTTTGGCCACTGTGTGACAGAGTGTTGGACTGGATGGGCCATTGGCCTGATCCAACATTGGCTTCTATTATGTTCTTATAGCAGACAGGTAATGCTGGCATAGAAAAGAACCATATCCTTTGCCTGACCCACAGTGCTTCTCTTTACAGGCTACAGTAAGATGGTTTGTACAGAGATGCAGCTCCCATGTTGTTATGAAAAAGTATCAGTGAACTCTAAGGTACCTTCTGAACAATGCTGCCTAGTGTGAAAGTGTGCAAACTCGTTCAGCAAAAGACAATGATGCAACTACTGCCTTATATGGTTTATATCCCAGGTAAGTCAGAGGAGTCCATATCTTTTGAGTGAAGGAGCCAGGTAGTTTTTGCAGATTCAAATCAAGTGCATACCTGCCTGAGTGCATTCTTCTCTGGAATGATTTTCCTAGGGGGTTCATCATTGTTACTATCTTCTCTCTCAGAGGAATTCTATGAACAACAGGAGGAAAAGAAAAAAAATTAATGTATTCCATCCCCAGCAAGAAAGCAAGAGAAGTTGAAGTTTCCAACAGCTTTACCTTCTCTTTCATAGGCTAATTTCTTGTAAGGGCTATGCATTTTTTGTTATTTTGACACATATTTAGATATCTACATTTGATGAATATCTGGAACATGAATTCTTATAACATATCAAGAATCACTGAATAAAAGCAACGTACTACTGACATGATCCATTATGACAATTACTCATACAATTAAATAGGCTATCAAATATTGCAGTCAAATATGCTACCATGTTCAATCCAACATTGTCACAATGCTCTTCTACAAAGCCAAACTACTACCTTAACCATACTTGACATAGGCACCTTATAAGGCTAGAATTATGCATATTAAACTAACAATACAACAGAACAGCCATTTTGTGTGTGAAAGACTAATAACCCAAACATTGGATTATCCAAATTTTTGGAAATAATCTTCATTGGTTATTGACAAAGGACACAATAGTAATACACGCTTAACAGCAGAAATGACAATGACATTTTTGACGGTAGAGTGGGTAGGTTAAGGGCAGCTTCCTCTAAACAAGGGACCAGGATCCAAAAGCCATTCTACATACCTAATAGGGCACTGGGGTTTATTTATCAGTCATTTGGTGCTACACAGTCTCCCTAAACATCATTGTACTTATATAACTGCTGATAATTGCTGGGATTTTGCACACAGCCTTAATGCCACTGCAGTTACAATGGTAGTACACTGGGCACGCATTCTTGAAGGCATCTTTTAATATATTTGGACATTCATTTAGGCAAAATTTCCATGTGTTCAGTGTCTTCAGTGTCTACTAGCCATGCTAATGGTACAGGGAAGAAGAAGGAGAAGGAGGAGGAGGATGGATTTATACTCCACCCTTCACTTGGAGTCTCAGAGCGGCTTAAAAACTCCTTTCCCTTCCCCTCCCCACAACAGACACCCTGTGAGGTAGATGAGGCTGACAGAGAGCTCTTTCAAGAATTACTCTTTCAAGAACAGCTCTGACAGAACTAATGGTTGCCCAAGGTCATCCAGCAGCTGCAAGTGGAGGAGTAGGGAATCAAACCCAGTTCTCCCAGATTAGAGTTTGAGCACTTAACCACTACACCAAACTGGCTCTGATTGGTCCGTGTAGCCCAGTATTGTCTACTCCAATGGGCAGTGGCTCTTAGTCACAGACAGAAGCACAAACCCAGTCATGATGCCCTTATTTGGAGGCAGCCAGTGTGCTATAATTGGTTAGACTAGGATCAGTGGGATCTGGGTTCAGATCCACACTGTACTGTGAAGCCTTGGCCCAGCCTTGGCCCAGTCACTACATCACAGAATCATTGTAAGGACAATACCGGAAAAGGAGGGAGGGAGGAGTAAGCAATGGATCAAATCGTATATGACACACGCTCTACCACTGAGCTATAGCCCCTACCAAACATGACATGATTTTAAGACTGACAACACCACACCTACCTCTCCTTCAAAAAACCTCTCCTTCCATCAAAAGTGTGTGATAGAAATAAGGGTGGCAGACAAGATACAATTCATTAGTATTAGTTACATGCCTCTCCTCCTATAGAATGCCCAGACTGGCTACAACATGCTTCCCACAACAACTTCTATTTGTGCAATGCTCAGAGCCAGACCCACTCAGCTTCAACTATGGAACTGCATTCAAGCCATTCTCTAGTACACTGGTCTTCTAAGTTTCCAGATGAGCATCACATGGCAAGAAGCAGGGGTGATGAGCTTACCATGTACAGGTAGTAGACCAAGTGAGCCAGGGACAGAAAAAAACAACCCAGCAACCCTTACCGTAGTGAGTAACATGCCAAGGGTCAAATACATGAAGAAATCCTTCACTGAGTGACCTTACCTCATAATTTCACTTCACCCTGCAGTATGTTCATACAAAAAGAAAACCAAGAGGCATTGCTTGCTCTCTTCTCATGTGCACAAGCAGCAGGTCTTTCTAAAAGATCCAAAAGCACAAAAACCGGAACTAACAATTCAGCAGGTGAGGGCTCCACAATCCAATTTGACATTCTCAGCCTACGGGTTCAAGATCACTGCTCCATTATCCTTGTAAAAGGATGCAAAAACTGGAAAACTATCACTTTGAGTTTTACTTTCCAAACAAGCATTTTGATCAAAAAGTGGAGTTTTAAAAGGTAGCATAGCATGTACCACTGAAGATGAATAAAGTCCTTTAGAATTGCAGACACAAAAGAATGTGATATTACCGCTTGGTGTTTTGACAATATTTGTTAAGCAGAGGTCCTAGGTTTTTTAGAGGAAGACAGAATTCCTGCTCAGACTAATCCAAAATGAGGATAAAGGGGTGGGATGCGATGAAGTAAATATAACTGGGAACGAATAGGTAACAGATTACCATTTACTGTCTGAACTGTTCTGTTTAAAAAGTGTATTTGAAGGATGGATCTGAAACAGTAACAGAAAAGGAGAACAAGATTCAAGATAGAAAAGGTAAACTTTATTCCACAAATAAGATACAATTTGGGGGGAAGCCAGTGGGGATGGAATGGGAAGAACAAACATGGAAGAAAGTGAACAAAGAAATAGAATCACCGTACATTTGGGCTTCTAAGTGAATACTACTAATCTCTCCCCTTATATAAAGCCGTAGTGGGGTCCAACGTTCCAATGCACACCTACAGTGTTTGGGCGCAAGAACTGTCAGTCAGAAGACGCTGGGTGGGTTGGCTGGCTGCTTTGTGTAGTCCCGCCCACGTCAGCGCCAGCCAGCGTCTTCGGCTCAGTCTGCTCTGGGCCTCTTGACAGGAGAGGACCATCTGCAGACTGAGTGCAGGGACAGGGCTTCTACAGGTGGGCCGCTTCAGCGGCCCAGCTAGAGAAGCCCCGAAGAGACGCCGGTAGACACAAGGGGACCCAGGTAAGAGGATGGAATCGCGCGGGAAACCGCAGGACAGAGCGGCGGCCGAGCTGCCTGTGCCTGTGTCTTCGGGTGAGGGTGTTCCTGGTGCGTGGACGGGGAAGCAAGTCAGCGGCCGGCGGCGGCCTGAGTTCTCTCCCATCCACTGCAGCATAGGTTAGTTATGCGGATCATATGGGGGAGAGGAGATTGATGTCAGCTGCTTTGGTTCCCACTGCAGGGGAAAACTGCCCTTTCCCTAGGCAGAGGCTTTGGGGGGGGGGTTGTAAAACTTAAGACAGACAGGCAGATAAAGGTTGGCTGATGGTTGCCAGGAAAGGAACATAGGGTTGCCAACTCCAGGTTGGAACTTCCAGGATATTTTAGGAATGAAGCCTGCTGAGAAGGAGGAAGAGGGGGACCTCAGACAGATACAATGCCATAGACCCCACCCTCCAAACAAGCTGTTGCCAATCTCCAGGTGACAGGGTGGAGAAATCTTTATGCTCTGGTGCTAATTCAAAGTGCTGGGGATGTGTTCAAGGCTCCCTCTAAGCTGTGGAGTCCTGTGAGCAAAAATTCTACTTGGTGAGCTCCTGGCATTAAAGTTGTGAGCGAACGATTTGGCTGCTGCATGAATTAGTTTGCTCTGGAGCCATCCTTCCTGAGCTAAGACAAAAATCTGTGAGCCGGAGGCTAAAAAACTGTGAGCTAGCTCACACTAACTCAGTTTAGAGGGAACACTGGATGTGTTGCATTCTGGCAGGGGACGCTGTGAGTGTAGAGAATGATATATCGACAGAGTAGTGTTTTGGAAAATCTTTAGGAATTGTTTGGTGCATTTACCATGGGGCACCCACTCAGAGCCTCTGGCATTTTCTCACTCTGCTGGCATCAAAACCAATTTAAGGCAAAATAGAGATATGGAGACTTTTCCATCCTCCTTTGCATCAATTTGTCTTTGTTGGCAATGGCAACCCTAGGCCTGCAAGCACTCTCAGGGTGACTTCATGCCTCCAGACTGGCATGGCATCACTAGCCCTGGCTGCCTATGGAAGCTGCCTGGGTGATTTCGGACCACAGACTTTCTGCTTAACCTACCTTACAGCGTTGCTGTACAGATCGCAAAGCCGAAGAGAATGAAGTAAGCTGCTTTGCTCCCTGCTAATGAGAAAGACATAATTTTCCCTAGAAAGAGGCTGCTGAGAGGGGA